TCACCGACGGCCCTGTGCAAACACACATGAACTTCACCTACCATGCTAGCAGCCAGGGTATGCCGCTAAGTTCATCTCTTCAACAGCACTTCTCAGCCTACTTCCTAGATTTTCTTCTACATGTTCCAGAGAAGCAAGGGGGATACGGAGCACTAGGGAAATGGAAAAGGCCTTATCAAAGATGATTTTCTGATTATGAGCTCTGTTTCCCCACCTTTGAGAAAGATCATGGGCCCTGAAATCAAGAAGAGACTTGGCCATCACCAACCCTGGTGGATGCTAAGACCTGCAAGAAAAGTATTTAAACCCTCTTCACTATATTCCTAACTCCCAGCTCCCACTAGGCCTGATGGCTAAAAAGAAGATGATTTTTTTTTAAGATTTTATTTATTCACAATGAATCATGGAACCCTACATCAAAAACTAATGATGTAATGTATGGTGATTAACATAACAGTAAAAAAATTTAAAAAAAGATTTTATTTATTTATCTGACAGAGAGAGAGAGAGCACAAGCAGGGGGAGCAGCAGAGGGAGAGGGAGAAGCAGGCTCTCCGCTGAGCAGGAAGCCCAACGCGGGGTTCAATCCAGGACCCTGGGATCAAAACCTGAGCCAACGGAGGAAGCTTAACCAACTGAGTCACCCAGGTGCCCCTGAAGAATGATTTCTTACATACAACTTCATATTTATATATGTATGAACATAATTAATACAACATAACATAATCAACACAACTAGGGAACCATCTCCAATTCTAGCAGAAGTAACAGGTTGTTTCAATTCTCTCCTATACGTGGATATGTAACTGCCACCCACCCACCAACCCATCCATCCATCGGTCCATTCTCTGTGGAGTCAGCACAAAGGATGCAATAAGACAAAGCACAAACATCCAGCTCCACCACCTACTAACCACCATGGCTTTGGGAAAACCATTTTAAGGTCCCTAGGTTATGGTTTTCTCATCTGTAAACTAAGTGCAATCATACTGCGTATTATTAGCATGGTTGCGATGATTAAATGACTAATACAAGTGCCTGGCAAAAAAAAAAAATAAGCTCTCAAGGCTTAACCACCATAATGATGATAATTATAATAATTACTAAGACTATAAAAACATTCACTGATCTACAGCTATGTGCCAGGCTCTAGCCTAAGCAGCAAGTAATTTTAGCCTTCTGATTTTGCAAGAGTCTTTAGTGGGGCGTTGGATTTCTCACAGCAACACCTCCAATACAACACCCCTCTCTTGCTGGGGATGATGCGCGTGAAAGCCATTTGCAGCATGAGGACCCCCCCCCAAGCCATGTTTAAACAATTACCAGCATTACGTTGCAGGTACCCATGACCATAGGAGGCCAGCCCAGCACGGTGCTCATCTTGCAGAGACGTCTTTTGTGTGGGTTTTGGGTTTCAGCTGGGCAACGCAAAGCCATAGAGTGAGTCGCAAAACGAGTTTTCATAAGCTCACCCTGTCACAAACCAGGCAGGGGTTCATGCTGACATCCCCACAGTAAGATTAAACAGCATGCTTCGTCAGGCACTAAATACTAACACAGCTCCGACGTCAGGGGGACACTGATTAAAACTGATGTCAATAATTTATGAAACACAATATGGTCTTCAGATGCTCTTTTGGAAAAAAAAAAAGAAGGGGGGAGAGAGAGGGCCTAGCAACCCAGGTGGTTTAAAACTGTTCATGCATTTTCCCTTGAATGTACACACACCCCCACCATGCATGGATGCTTCTTTACACGATGAATGTAAATGCACATGTGTATAAGAGCATACGAGCGCTGCTGATACATATGGGCGGAAGAAAGTATTTAGTTATTCCACTGAGAGCTGTCGAGGCTGTAACATTATACACGGTCTTGTCTTTCATATTGTTTTGAGGGGTTTTTTCTTCCAGAAGAAATCCAAAATTGCATTTAAAATAAAATTGGGCTTTACAAAATGTTCACATTTATCCCGCAGAGAACTCAACCTTGAAAAGTCACCAAAAAGAAAGCTTGACGAAAGAAAACCTATAGGATGTATGCCTTTCTTAGCAATCCAAAAGTACCTCGGCCCTGTGTAGAACCGTGTAGTCAAATAGTAATATCCATGTCTTTTTAAATTTTTGGAGGGTTTTTTTGGGGGGAGGCGGTATGGGAAGTAACCTAGGGAAGGATGCCATTTTAGTCTATTATAAATCACTGTCTCATTATTTTATAAAGGCAAAAACAAAATATCACAGTGATAATGCTTCATTTTTTTTTTTAATCAGGACTGATTTTTGGAATTTAAAAACATCCTTCTTGACTTTGCCTTCACTGTAAATAATCTGGGTAGCTTGACTTTATATGTCAACAGTGTGAAATTCACAAGTTGGGATTATGTTGGGGGAAAAAATCTGAGCCGCTGATAGTACAAAAGTTAGTGTGTGAAGGATTTATTAATGCTTTTTTCCCTAGCACAGTGCCCTGTAGTGTCTCAGAACACCTGTCAAATACCAATTCATTCACATATCTCCACTACAGGGCCTTTTCATAAAAAGCTCGACCTTTAATTGTAAATCACTTCTAAATTGTCTTTGCTGGCTTTCTCTTTTGCGGAATGATGGAAAAATCACTAAGACTTCAATTAAGACTTTATGGGAACTTCAACCTGACGTTCCCGGGGCTGTAGCTACAAGATATCAGAACATCTATTCAAAAAGGAAACTATAAATAACTTTAACTTAGTTGAATTGGCTTTGCTTTTACGAGATGACTGAATAATTGGCAAGATTTAAAGATACTTTAACTACTGAGAATTAAAATAACTTCAGGAAAAACCAGAAAATATTGTTAGCCGATTATTTGTCATGCAGATTATGTACTTATTAGGCCCAATTAAACTTTTTGAACAAAAAACACTTACTAATTACATTAGTTAATATGTTGATTGCTCAATTTGGCTGTTTAAAAAAAGCAGTCAATCCAATTTGTGCACATAGTTAATGCTGTGGTCAAAAGACAAAATCCTAAACTACAGAGATTATTTCAAGTGCATGACCATTGTTACAACAAATACGGTTCCGTCTCCACATCCAAAGTGACAGGGAAGAGATGGGGGCGGGCAGTGAATCTGAACAATACCAAGGCTAAGACGAATCTTCAAGCCAGTACAATGTTACCACAAGATCCAGTGTATTTGCCTCAATGTATTCACTTGCATTTGTCCAATTAGACCCCGCTGTTGACAACCCGAAGATATCTTTCATATGCACATGCAAACTAAAACTGATAGCAAAACCCTGGGAGGCCCTTTAAATGTCAATAAAGGGTTTTTACGCACAAAAGGAAGCAAAGAAAAGAGGGAGGGGGAAAGAGAAGGGATGGGAAAAACCAACATTTCTAAAGGAATGGAGCAGATCAAAGCAATTTTATTCTCAAAGACCACTAAGTCAGGGTGTAACTACTAGCTCGCCGCCGAATCCTGCAAAGTCTCTTCAAGCTGGCAACCCGTTCAGTCCCTTAAATGAGGGGGATGAACAATTAGGTCTGCAAAAGCGGGACCCGGTGCAAAAAATGGAGGCCTGCGCCAAGCAACAGGAGTTTCAGCCCTCTGCAGCCCAGGACGCCTGACTGGGCCTCAGTGCCCACCCAGCTCTCCAAGACATGTTTTCCATTCGCTTGCTCAAAAGTCTGCATCCACAGTCATGAGGCACAAACTATTCGACAACAACATGACACAATTAATCAGAACCAGACCTCAAAACGTGTGTTTGTGGGGACCAGCACACTTAGCAATGTGCCTCCGACCGGGAAGAGACTGAAGAAACCCCGCGCTGGCTGCCTGGGGTGGGGGTAGGGTGGGGTAGCTATAGGTTCACAAAAGACGCACACCGAACGGTGTATGGAGGGACTAAATACTGTTCATTAAAACAGAACGTGGGATTTGGAAATTTACATCTCATACTGAAATTCTCTGGCATTCCTCCCCCCCCATTTTGTTTTTTGTTTTGTTTTGTTTTGTTTTCTTGGGGAGAAACTGATGCCTGAGTTTCTACAGCAGCAAAGTTGTACAATTTAGAAACAGAACGGATCTCTCGCTCTCTCCCCCCAGCCCACCCTTTTTTTAAGCCTCATTTCTGACCCAACAGTATTCACCAGTCCTGGTTTTGTCAGATTTCTTTCAGGACTTGAAACCCCATTAAAAAGCGAGAAGCTGGACCCTTGGTTAATTCAAAGCTCTTCCAATTCACCTATCCCTGACGCTAACAACACACACACACACACACACACACACACACACACACACACAAATGTTGATATACTTTTTGGGACAAGGATTGAATTATTTTAAAATAATCACTGAACTCTCCTTTGTAATCCGTAGATAGTAATTAATTTAAATCACATCATTCTTCTGCTAACACAAATACCCTGTTCAAAATGGGGGAGGGATTTTTTTTTTTTTTTCCAAACCATAAAAGACAAATAGAGGGTGCAGGAGTGATATATTCGTCCGGTGCCGAACTGGCCCCAAACTGCAAATCCCTCTGCCATCTCCCAAAGGATTTGTGGTTGGGGAGCTGGAACTTCCCGGGAACAGGGCCGGGGTTCCCAACTGCGCGCCCAGCTGCAGCCCTGGGAAAGGGTGGGGGGTGGCGGGGAGGGTAAGGCGGAGGTGGATCCCAGAGTCCCGCCAAACTGAGAGTAAGGCAACGCATGTTTGCATTCGAGTCCGGAGTCAGGGGGACCAGTCAGCAAGTTTCCTGCAAAACCCTCTGCCCCGAAGCATTTCTCATGCTTCCCGGCTTCACAGAGCGCACTGGGCGCAAATCCGAGCGTCCAGGGCCAGCGCCACGCGAGCCCATGAACCGGCTCTCATCCCTCCCCGGTCCCGGGACGTCCCGGAACGCGCCTTCCACGGTCCGCGCCGCGTCCACGCGGCCGGCAGTGCTCCGGTGCGGCCGCCAGGCCCCCACCCCCAGCCCGCTGCCCGCGTCCCTGCGGCGCCCCCCACTCACCCACGCACTCGTTGGCCTCGCGGGCCGTGGCGCGCTGCCAGGGCCGGTCGTAGTGGAAAGGCTTGCAGCGGTCGCACTCCGGGCCGGCCGTGTTGTGCCTGCAGTCGCACACCAGGCTGTCGTCGCGGTCGCGCACGCAGCGGGCGGCATGCCCGTTGCACTTGCAGCGGCCGCCCACCTGCAGGTCGGACACGGCGTAGAAGTACGAGTCGCGCGCCAGCTCCGAGTCGTCCTCGTTCTCGTCACCGAACGTGTGCAGGCGGCTGAAGGCCACGCGGATGTCAGTGGCCGTGACCCAGTCCTGCAGCACGGGCGAGTTGTCGAAGTCGTGCGCCGAGGGCCGCCCGTCCAGCGTGCTGAAGGCGATGAGGCCGCCCGAGAGCGGGCGCATGTCGGTGTGCGAGTCGGTGCACACGGCCTCCTGCTCGTTCTGCTTGGTGATGGGCGCGCGGTGCGGCCGGTTGTACATCTTGCGGCACTGCGTGGAGTAGAACTGGAAGGGCACCCACGTGCGCCCGTAGTCCATGGACTTGTAGATGGCCATGGACTCGGGCCGCGGCGAGCAGAACTGCAGGCTCACGTACGTCACCTCGAACTTCTTGCCGAGCGACAGCGTGAGCGTCACGTTGTGCGGGAACTGCAGGTAGTTCTCGGACTGCCAGCACGTCAGGTTGTGCGGGTTGTTGAGATCGGTGAGGAAGGCGGGCGGGTGCGCCTTCCTGGGGTCCGACGCGTTGCAAAGGTGGCAGGAGCGCAGCCGCTCCTCGCCGCGCTCGCTCACCACGCAGTAGCGCGCCGGGGGCCGGCCGCAGGTGCTGGACACGCGCACGTCCTTGCCGAAGGCCGCGTTGACAAAGTCCGGGATGCAGCGGCGCGGGTGGCCGTTCTCGTCCGAGCAGGGGTCGGGCTGCGCCGCCTGGCCGGAGAACATGCTGAGCCCGGGCCCGCCGCGCACCGCGCCCACCAGGCACGCCACGGCCGCCAGCGCCGCCAGCGCCTCCCACACTGCGCGCATCATGCTGCGTCCAGCTTGCCCCGGCCCCGCCGCGCCGAGGAGTCGGTCCGCCCGCCGCAGAAGGCGCCTGCGGAGAGAGGGGAGCTGCGCTCAGCCAGCCCGCCCCGCGCCCTCCACTCCCCCCCCCTCCCCGGGCGGACGGCAAGCCGGGGCGCGGGGCGAACGCCCGGCTTCCCCGGCACCAACCCCGCGGCCGCCCGCCCGCCTCGCTCCCCACAGTCCCGAGGGGAGAGGCGGGCGGGCGAATCCCGGGCCCCCGCCCCTCCCCCCCGAGCCCGCACCTCCCGCGCGCGTTCTTCCCGGTCGGGCGGCGAGCCGGGGCCGCGGGCAAACGCTCGGCTTCCCCGGCCACCGCCGCCTCCACGCCGCCCGAGGGGGGCATGCCCGCGCCCGCCTGCCGGTCCGCAGCCAGCCCGCCTAGCGCCCCAAGCCTCGGCGCGGGACAGCGCGGGGGCCCGCCAGCCCGCACGGCCCCGCGCCCCTTCCTCCCGCAGCCCCGGGGGTCCCTCCGCGCTGGCCCGGATCGCGTCCCCGCCGCAGAGTCCGCGCTCGGGACTTTACCTCTGGCGAGGGCAAAAGAGAAAGAAAAGTTTGCCCGGCCCCGGCCGGGAGCCCGCGCGCCGGACCGCGAAGAGCCTCTCGCTCGCGGCCAGCAGGCGCGTCCTGCCTCAGCGCGGGCTTGCCAGCTCCATGCCCGGCGCGGCCGCCGCTGCCCAGGCCCGGCCCCCGGCCCCCCCGGGCCCCCGGCCCCGGCCCCGGCCGCCGCCGCCTCGCTCGCCCGAGTGACGACGCGGCCGCCCGGCTCCCGCCGCTCCCGCCGCGGTCGGAGTGCTGCCCAGCCCGCGCCCGGGGCGCACACACACTCACGCTCGCTGGCGCGCACTCACACACACGCACGCACGCCCCCGAAGGCTCCGCCGCCGCCGCCGCCGCCGCCGCCGCCGCCGCCGCCGCCGCCGCCGCTCGCGCCGGGAGTGGGGGGCGGAGGGGAGCGCGGGGGCGGGGGGCGGGGCCGCCGGGCGGGGCGCCGGCCAATAACGTCGGCGAGCAGCCGCCCGCTCGCGAGCAAAGTTTTAACCCCGGGAAAGAAGAAAGTTAAAGGGAAGCGGCCCGGGACGCGGAGCGAGCGGGAGCGCGAGCGGGTGGGAACCGGGGAGCCCGAGGAAGGGCGGCAGAGACAAAGAGAAAGCTAGGAGAGCGCCCGGGGAAACCCCGGAGAGGGGGCTGGGCCCGGCGAGCACCCCACGGAGGGAGGAGGGGCCGGCCGGGGACTGTCAGCCTCGCCCGGGCCCCCCGCGCCGCCCGGGGAGCCCCGCGGGTTTCCGCCGGCCCCACGCCCCGGGGGAGCGCGCGGGCGGGCGGGGGGGGGGGGGGGGGACGACGTGCTCCCTCCTGGTCCCGGCCAAACACATCTGTGTTTGTTTTCTTTGCTGCGCCGAGGTCGGGCCTTCCTCCAACCCGGCCTGATGGCCCCGGTGGCACCGCGCACAGGGCCGTGCCCCCGTGGGCAGACAGCCGGGAATCCGGAGGAAGCCGGGGGTGGGGGGGGAGGTAACCTCTGTCTGCCAGCTCACCCCTTCTTCCTGAAACCCACCGGGGCGGGCGAGAAGGGGCCGCTACCCTGTCCCCCCACGGTTGTCACCCTGCGGTGGGCCTGTGTGCCGGGAGGGCGGCTGGCTCCTTGCGTCCCGGGGATCCTGTGGTGGGCTGGAGGCTGAAGATGAGAAAGCAGCCGGACAGCACCAGGGCCCGGGCCCATGCCCCTTCCAGACGGGTCTGCGGGCCTCGGGCTGGGGGCAGCCCAGCCCCCCGTCCCAGGTCCCCTGAGGCAGGCTTGTATTTTCAAGGGTGCTCTGCCCCGCACTAGCTCACACGAGCCTCACGACAGCTTTGCAAAGTAGGTCTTAACTCCATTTCGCAGATGAAGAAACTGAGGTCAAGAAGCTTGCCCAACATCTCCCATGGAGATGTCAACATGGATCAAATCCGGGAATAGAAACCAGGGCTCCTTCCTCTCTTCCTAGCCAAGTGGATAATAATCCCACCCAATTATAGTCTCAGGAGGCATCCTTGGGGCCACCCAGCTTCTCCTTCTTGCGTCATTCTCTGCCACCTTAACAGAAGGACCGAGGACAGTGACAGCATCCCTTGACTATCCTGCTGCACAGCCAAAGCGCTTTGGGGGAAGAATACCCTGGGCTGAGAGTCTGAAACTCAATTCCTGTTGGTTTGTTACTTTTAGATGAGTGATCTAGTCATAAATCTGGACTGAAAGCCCAGGGTTCTGGTTCTGGCCCAAAAGCCGGCTTGCTGCATTATCTCCATCAAGTGTCTCCTTTTGTCTTATTGGCATTCTCATAAACTGAGAATCTAAGAAGGGGCCTCAGGGCTCCTTTGGCCCAGCTCACTCTCCTTGGAAAACCGCCTTCCCCAGCCTCCCTGAGAGAGGGCCACCCAAGCCAGCTCTTTTAGGGATGGGAGCTCACCACAGCCCAAGGAAATAAATGCATTCCCTTGCACGACAGACAGCCCGGATTCATCCTCTGCCCTAGGGGAACGCTTTAGCTTTGCCTTCCCTGTGCCATTTACCACTCCCTACGCTGTTTATTTCTGCCTTGTGGCAGAGAGGATTCTCGGTGACTTATGAGGCTACTTAGAACATGGCAAAATAACATAAATTAGACAGTGAGGTGAGAGGAGACAGAGGGAAAGTTTAACTCTTGTGGGCTGGGAGATCCGAGGGCCATGTCGAAAGCATAGCAGTGAGGAGTAATGCTTTGAAGCCAGAGTGTGTGGCCTTGGCGAGTTTTCCATCTCTCTGTGCTTTGCTCTCCTGGTTTGTAAAAAAGGGGACAATAATATCTGTCTCATAGGGTTATGAGCATCAAATGAGTTAGCCCATATGAAGACTGTAGCTTATAATATGTGGACACACCCATAATGCACTTACATAATCTACACAAATAAAGTGTATATGTAAATATGCATAAAACCAGGCACATAGCAAAGGGATGTAGCAATGTTCATTGTGACTACTAAGTTGCTAGGTCTTTATAGATATTTAAAATAATTTAGGGGGTGCCTGGGTGGCTCACTTGGTTAAGCATCTGCTTTCGGCTCAGGTCATGATCTCAGGGTCCTGGGATCGATCCCCCCCCCCGGCCATCCAGCTCACTCTCTAAGAGATAAATATTTTTTTAATTAAAAAAATAAAATAATTTAAAGAAGAGCATTTAATTACATGCAAAGATATTCATGACATATTACAAAAGGGGGGAAAGCAAATTACAAAACATGATGTCCCCCCCAAAAGAACACTATGCACAATATAAGCTCATTTTTATTTTTTTAAGTATGCATAAAAAGACAACTTGGTTCACCATGGTCATCTCTGGATAGTGAGATTATAGGTGATTTTTATTGCTTTTTGCTTGGGCGTTGTCAATTTTCTGTGGTAGAATAAGGAGAGCGAAGAGAAGAAAGAAAAACCGGGGGGGGGGGGGAATGGGAATAAAGCAAAAATGCTCCCTGGAATGCTCTATTCACCTCCTGTGGGTGGGCCACAAATTTGTCCCTGCGCTTTCCTGCAGCCCAAATGAAAAGGAAACCGGGCAGTTACACGATTCCCGGTGTCCATGAGATAAAAACAGACACTCAAGAGAATTACAACTATTCTTGGGACTAAGATCAGACAGGAATTTCTCCCTGGGGCTGGGGGGGGGAACAAGGAGGACATAAAGAAACACAGTAGGTGGTACTGAGCACACAACCTCAAGAACATCCCCATGGTGGTGACAGCAGCAAGCTCCATGGGACGGTTTCTGTGTGACGGCCCGCAATAGAAGCTGGTGGCATCACACCGAAACGCAAGTCAGGGAAAGCCAGTCTGGCCAGGACAGGTCTGAAAGAAGCAAATCAGGGTGCCCAGCTCATTGCCCACCCAAGTTGGGTCTGTCTTGGAGGTATCTACTGGGCTGGCTTGCAGAGCGCGCTCCAAGCCTTCCTCCTGCTGTGTTGTTTCTGTCCACAGAGAATTTTATTTTATTTTTTTATCTTTTTATTAAGTAATCGCTACACCCAACGTGGGGCTCGAACTCACGACCCCAAGACATCCTGGGGGTCCGGAACATTCTGGTACACAGTAGAACGTGTCTACCTCCATTCAAAACCCACCTCCCTGCCACTAATACAGTCCATGCAATTCCACACGGCAGCCCGGCCCAAGGATCTGCCTCTTCCAAGTTTTGCAGTCAGCCCTCTATCATCCTTCAGTTTTATCCGTTAGGCAAAAATGTTTCCAGTTCTTTCCATGACTTCTCACAGGGCAGTTTTCTGGCCCCTCGGCAGCCGCTCCCGATGCCCTTTCATTTGTCAGTGTCCCTCCCTAAAGCATATTGCCCTCTGAGGGGACAAATGAAAAAAACAGATGTCCAAGTGTTGTGAGAGCTTCTCGAAGTGGGGGTTATAAATACACACCCGAAAAGGCATGTCGGGCTCCAGCAGCAGGATCCTCGGCACAAATAGTTCAAAACACAACAGTGCCGCTCTTGGATGAGAAAGCAAATTCCCAGGTGTTCCTGCAAGCAATGCGTGGGGACGGGGAGCCTCCCTTCTCGGTGCCCAGCCTTACCTGGGAAGCCTGAGGATCACTCTAGGAAGAGGAGAATGCGGCCCTTTCAAGAAAATCTAGAAGGAGCCAGGGGAGGAGGGGAGGAAAGCCAGAAGACTCAGGTGCCCTAGAAGCCAACAGGGAAGTTTTAAGGAAGGCGGGGTGGTGAGCCCTGTCACGTGCCTTCAAGGTCAAGATAAGATCTGAAACAAGTCCTTGGATCTGAACGACAGGGAAGTCACTGGTGACCTTGGCTAGCAGGGGCAGAGGAGTGCTGGGGACAGACGCCGGACTGCCTCGGGTCATGGAAGCAGGGACGGCAAGTGTAGACAGCAGTTCGCAAAGTGTGGAAACCAGTGGTAGGAAAGAGATAGGGTGATGGGAAGGAACGGAAGGAGAGAGGTTGAAGACAGACAGAGCCAGCCTTTTAGAATAGGCGGTCAGGTGCCAAAGCATCAGGAAGCGGGAGCATCTTCTGAGAGCAGGGGAGCAGGTGTGAACACTGGAGGTTTGAGGACAGGGGAAAGCTTGATTGGGTCACTATGGAGGAGAGGCGGATGCTTGCTGGCCAGAACTCAAGCTCCTGCTGAGGTTGGTGACCATCTATGAGAAAGAAAGCCCCAACCGTCAAAGCCACAGCCCCCCGCCACTACCCCAACAGGGCTCAGCAGCCCCTGTGTAGACCCAGAGAAAGTAGGACCGCTGGATTAATCTAGAGTTGCAGGTTTCTTCCAGGAGGTAGGACAGAAGGGGTAGGGGGTGGCTGCTGGGATGGACCACGGAAGCAAAGCTAAAGAGAGAAGACATGAAGACAGGACATGGAGAGAACAGGAAACGGAGCCCAGGGTCCTAGAACTGTGCTGTCCAGTGCAGTAGACGGGAACCACTGTAACTATTTCAATCTGGGCTTGAATGAACCAAAAGGAAATAAAGATAAAAGTTTCCTCCGTTAACCCTCATTTGGACAGAGGCGATAAAGAACATTTCTATCATCCCAGAAAGTTCTGTTGGACAGAGCTGGTCCGGAAGATTCAGGAAGAACGGCTC